ACTGCCAACATTAGGACAGAAAAAAGAAAGAAAAATAACGGACAGTTTAGATGTTTTATAAAATATGTGAATAAGGAAATTATCTATATATTAAACTAAATGATTGTTGTTCTCAACTTCAAAAAACACTTTAGATTTTAAAATGGAAAAATCTTCTATTTTTTTTATATATATATTTTATTATTTATAAATTCTATGTATAAGATGGATGCATAAACACCTGCTATTTATTTGAGTGTTGAATTCTGTTTAAAGTAACAGCTTATAATTGAAAATGTCTCTGGATCTTTACTGGTTGATGATTTTCTTTATTCTGACCCCGCTGATTTTAATTGTTCCCCCTGGTGCAGTGAGGCAGTGAACCTGCGTGGGGCTGACCTGGGCATATGCATTGAGGAAGACTTGGCTTCTGGATGCCAGCTGGTCAATGTTGGGAGACTTCGCCAGGGCGTCGTCATAGCAACCCAAAGATGCCCGCAGATCATCTGCTATGATGAAGAGGACGTTCCTCTTCTCTGCAAACAGACAATCAAGGTTTAAACTCGGAAACATTTTAAATAAACGCACCGTTAGACAGTTAACAAGCCTGGAAACCAGTGGAGCAGCTGACAGATCCCAGTTACTTCCACTTCTGCTAAAGTTATATTCAGAAGTGTCAAAAATCAAACCCACAGAGTAAAAAATCAGATTAAAGTTAACAAAATAAAAAAATAAACTTTCTAATAAAATCTAGTTAAAGCTATTTAAGCTAGAACATTGACATCATCCAGAGAATTAGTGCTAAACTACATACGGACAGGTTTATATTACTACAATAAGGAAGCCTGTGAGGTTCAGTTTGGTGGATTTACCTCTTCTAGACGTAGCAGGTGTCAGTAAACAGAGGAGCAGCAGGAAAAGCCACGTAAAAACTCCCAGATTCATTTCTGCGCTGCTTTCTCACCCACTCTGTCTGCCGTGGACATTATAAACACATCCAGGCAGGCTGCTGCTGTTTAAATAACTTCCTGATAATGAGTCAGCAAGGTGCTGCGTGCTCATTGGTCCATTCGGCAGGAGGGGTGGGCTTTACTAGGTAATTGACGCGTCAATCATTTAATCAGCTACCAGTTTATCCACAATCAAGAATGTCGATAAACGACAACATTTTTTATTTCTTTACAGATTTTTCGAGAAGCTACTTGGCTTTTCTTATTTTTTCCACATTAACAAGAACATTTTAACAATTTATTTATTTGAAATGTTGACAAGAATCTCATATCTACGCAAAACAGAACGTTAACAATAACAACCAAAAGAGGTCTCACTATGAGCGAAATTTGATAAATATAAATCTCAGTCTTTTTTATTATTATCTTAACCTTCTACATTTTAAGAACAAAACTTTTACGCTTTAGACCAAATTTCAAGTGCTGGAATAAAATGTGAATGTTTCACACAATTATTTCCAAGTTGATTATGAAATGAAGAATAAAGGTGGCTGATGAAAACATTTTATTTTACTATTTTGTTTATTATTCCATTTTTTAATACTTATTCAAAGATGAAGATGTTAAACATCAGAATTGTGCCAACTGTAATAAGGCTGGTATTTGATCCTAGTCTTCCTATAATTATTAATCAAAATATTTCAGTGTGTTTGTTAAGTGTAGAGAACAAATGTGTAAATTAGTATTTTAAATTAAAGGAGTGTGACAAACGGCTTTAGGGAGATTTTTTTTTTAGAAAGGAAAAAATATCTAAACAATAAACTTTATTTTGTTTATCAGTTGGATATTTAAAGAATTGATAAAAGCTTACGCCAGTTTTTCTTTATTCTGACATGGAAAGGGTGAAACGTTGTTATTATGCCAGGTTATTGGGCAATTTGTTGTTATTAGTATATTTGAAGTCCCGATTTTAATCATGTCTTTGTTTAGTCAGCTTTTGATTTTTGATTCTGCATTCGCTAATTTCTTTATTTTTTGTTGTGTGTCCTTTAAAACACATATTTCTGCATTTTTTTTTTTTCAAGTAAATACTGGTAGTTGTAGACAATGTTCTCTTGTGTTTTAATTTCTTTTAAAAAATACTTTTCTGTCCTGTAAATGAAAAGAAAATCTGAAATTACTTAAGTAATTAATTAGAAAATACATTTAAACTATTAATATAAGTTTATTTAACTGTATTTAATCAATTATTGTAAAAGTCCCCCGATTTTCATCGACGTTCATACTCCAGTTCGGTAGATGGCGGTAAAAGCACCTGACGTTGCTTTACGAGTCAAACTCTAAAAGAAAAAGATCAACCTTCTTTTGCAGGGTGAGCCCTGTTTTAAAATAGACGATCTTTGATCACAGCGGCTCTTGATGGCGAACGTCTCGACCAAACGTGAAATTTCCAGCGCTGGGAGCGATGAGTTATCCCGGGAAGTTAAGAGAGTGAAATCTGACGACAAGAACGGAGAAGAGGATGGAAATGAACCTGAGTGGGAGAACGTTCTGTCTGCGTTCACAACATCCAGCGTGCTGAGTGATTCTGCCCGGGAGAAGATAATGTTCGTCCATGGAAAGGTGTTTTTATCTGGGATTTCTCTGAAATTTTCGTGTTTTTCGTTTGGTGTGCTCCGGAAATTACTCAAGATCAGTTCAATGGTCGAAATAAGATTTTACCTTTTATATTTGTTGAAAGCTGTGCGATAAAGCTGTAGGGGCATGGTGTCCACTTCCGGTTTGTTATTTCAAAATAATAGCCTATGTTGTCAGGGTACGATAGAGTATTAGAGATTTTTTTCTTTTTACGGTATTTTGAGAATAAAGTCGTAACATTAGGAGACAACAACCCGTTTCAGAAAGAAAGCTTGAAGCTCCGACCAGCAGATGACGACCGACCAACTCCACCAATCAGCAACCTGAGTCCACTTTGACATGCTGCCCAATTTGATGCCTGTGCTAAAAGATTTCCTTATTTGTCAAACCAGAGCCAAAGTATAACTTCACATGATGCTCCACATTCCTCATTTTAGGGTAGAACGTGCTTCTTGTAGGAGTTGTCATAAAATACAACTTGTTTCTCGTAATTTTAACTCTTTATTCTCTTAATATTAAGACTTAACATAATAATAATAATACATTTATAATGTTAGGACTTTATTATCATAATGTCACAACTTTTTTCTAGAAATAGAAAACAAATCTCTATCCTGGCCCTAATACTCCGTCGTATCAGGGCTTTGTACTGATGATGACATATATTGAAATCCAGGCAGAAACCGAAATGTTGAACATGTCTTCAGATTGCTGATAATGATGCTGTGGTGGTCCTGGAGAAGACCCCTATCAGAGAGGACTTCCTGGCTGAGCTCTTCAGGGGCTCCAAGCTCAGGCTGGAGATGAAAAATGACATCTACAGCTCCTATCGCCTCCAGGCCCCCCCTCACCTCAATGGTAAATCCACCAAAGGATGAAGCTTCTCCAATAGGATAACTGTCAATAGCAATGTATCCATAGGTGTCTGACTTTGTAAGTATGGGTCAATAAATTTAAGATTTCCTGTTTTCAGATATTCAGTTTGGAAGTTATGTTATAAAGTTGCAACTTTGCTAAAATAGAAGTACAAATCACAAGTTTACAAATGTGAATCTACAGCCCTGATGAGCTGTTCCACTCCTTACCAGTAGGTGGCAATAATGCACCTGAAGATTGTTCACTACAAATCTTCAAACGAGGACAGGAGAAAAACAAAACAGTCTGTTGAACGTTATACAGGTAATGCATTGAAATATTTGTACAAAGGCATTGTCACCACGCGATCCGTACCATCAGCTCATTTGCACAGGCGCAACCAGATATAGATCCAGGTTGCCATAAATAATGTTAATTATGGTACTAAAAGTACTTATTTCTATCATTAAATAACAAAAAAAAATGCCAATACATATCTTTAAAAATTGTTTTATGACTATACTGAGACATTTAATGCTTTTTTACATTTTACTTTTTTTTTTTTTTTTTCATTTTACTTTTTTACAGCTTGTCTGACATCATCATGGGACATGTTCAGAGTAGTCCGGCAAAATATGATTGAACCATTTTTATCTGCATTTTAGTTTTTTCTTTCTTTAGATTACAAACTATATACCTTAAGGTTAACACAAAAAGAAAACATAAAACTCAATGTCCTAATATCCATATTGGGCTATTTTAAATGAGTGTCTGAACGTCGTGGATGAAAAAGTAGTGGACTCAAAATTTCCCACAATGCACCTTGAAAAGTAGTGATCATTGTCACTACCCGATTTGTCCTGAAAGTACGATCTGTCCTTCGCATGCGCAAACAGATATACATCTGGGGGTCCATAAATAATGGTATTATGGTACTAAAATTACTTTTTTCTCTCACATATTGCCGAACTGTATTGATGCTGCGTTGATACTGTCTCACAGAATACTGACACCTGCTGGACATTTAAAGACACTACAGGCAGCTTATTGGACAGACTAAACTGAATTTATTTGATGACCTGGAGCAATGATATCATTTAGGTAATTGTAGGTTATATTGTATTATTTCATATGTATGTTTAATTGAAAAATATTTTTAGATATATTTAGATGCAGTCAATACATAATGTAAACATAACATTGAAATTTAGGAGAAAATGTAAATGAAGATGCTTGTGGACAAGGATTTTAAATGTTTTTAAAACAGTAAGTACAGTAAAAACGGTAAATAAACTAAGAATTGATTCAAAATTAACTTTGATTCAGAGAAGTTGGGTAATAATTGAGAGGAAAAGAATGACACAATGAGAAAATTGAAATAAAAACACAATGGCTGAAACATTCCTATTCCTTTTAGGCTGCTCCAATATTCTTGATAGTTTTAATGATAAACCACAAAAGATGAAAAAGAATTTTAGCAGAATTTTGAGATATGCTTTTAAACACAGTTTAGTGAGTCAGTCAGTTAGAAACAACTCCTGTATACAGTGTTTTGCTCTATGGGCTCCGATGCACCGATGTATTGGGTTTGCTGGACCCATCACTAGCTATTACACATCCTTAAAAAATGTTTTATGACTTTTGTGATACAATTTTGATGCGTTTTTACATTTTCTTCATTAAACTGCTTCTCTGACATCATGGGACACGTTCAGAGAATTCGGGCTAAATCTGATTAAACCATTTTTATCTACATTTAGTTGTTTCTTTCTTTAGATTACTCACTATATACCATAATGTTAACATGAAAGGAAAACATAAAACTCAAAAAGACTCGATACGAAAAAGTTAGCTCCCAGAAGTAGCGTAGGATCCCTGATCGGGCAGTGACGAGTGATAAAACAAAGGATTTTAAGGCATTTATTTTCTCAGGAAATACATTATTAACCTTTAACACATTATATTTTAGCACATTTACCATTTTTGGGGAAAACGTAATTTAGGTATTTTTAACAAAATAAAATCAAGGGCGACCTGGATGCATATCAGGATGCGCAAATGAGCTGATTGCGCATGCGCAGGAGGAATTGTCCTTTCCCGGACAGATCGGGTAGTGCCAACCATTCATGGTCACTAGACGAGCGGATAAACCCGCAATGCTTTTCCTAGGAGAGCTCTCCTTGCAAAGCATCATGGGATTTATTGTCACAGCGACTCACTAACACTGATATCTATTTATTCACTGGATTGCTGATAAAAAACTGAAGTCACCCACCGCCATCTTGGTACTCCCCACTCTCAAAGAGTCGTGCCATGAAAATGCCTGTAATGTAATTACCATAGCAATGTAATCAATACATTTATTATACATGCACATCATCAACTTAACACTTTTTAATAATAATACTTGAACTTTATTGATCTCACATTGGAGGAATTAACCCTCTGCATTTAACCCATCCTCTTGGGGAGCACTGGGCTGCCATTGTGCAGCGCCTGGGGAGCAGTGTGAGGTTAAGGGTCTGTGCTTAGAGACCCAGAGTGGAAGTCTGTGGGAGTGGGACTCAAACTCAGAACCTCAGGATTCCACGCTCTATGCTCTAACCGCTAAGCCGCCACACCCCCATGTACATGTAATATACATGTATTGATAACATTATTATAGTAATGACCTTACATGACAATAATTTTGTATGGCGCGACTCCGTGAGAGTGGGGAGTACCAAGATGGCGGCAGGTGACTTCAGTTTTTTCGTCCTATCGGCAATCCCGTGAATAAATAGAGATCAGTCTGCATAACTGTCGATCTATGGTTCTGTGTGACATTTTCTTCCCAGCCCATGCAGCTTGGTGAAGCTACATTACTGCCACCAACTGGAAAGGAGTGTAACGGCTTCATCAGCGGTTGTAGATTCGAACTTTGTTGTTTTTAATCTGTTGTCTTTCTTTTGTACTTGTAAATTCGTACTTGTATTTTTGCAAAGCTGCAGCTTTTAATTGTAACTTTTTTTTTACTTTTATACTTACAGATGTAACATTGGATGTTACATAATCATGTTTATTAACTTATATTTACCTATGAATAGGCCATTTTACTACATTAACATTCTTTTGTCTAAAAGATAAAGTATTAGTACTATTTTTTTATAAAGTTTGACAAGCAGATTCAATTTTCCTGCCACTTCACAATCACCCAATGAGTTGATCAGTTGCAACCTTTGGGCATGAAGAACACCTTTCCAGGTCTCCGCTAATTTGTTCCCTGTTTTAAACGTATCATGCCCTGCTTGGTGATGATTTTTCTGGTTCTCTTTCATTGCTCAGAGATCAAGACAACAGTAGTGTGTCCTGCCACAGAGAAGCACGTGAAGAAGTACCAGCGGCAGGAGAGTTTCCTGGTGGAGGAGACGGGGGAGGACTACCGCTCCATCACTCTGCCTTACATCCAGGAGCAGAGCTTGAGCCTGCAGGTCGGTCACCTGCAAATCACAGCATTTTTTGTTAGATGTTATAGTTTGGGGTTAACATCCATGTTTGGCTTCCAGTGGGTCTACAACATCTTGGAAAAGAAGGCAGAGGCAGACAGGATCGTTTACGATGATCCAGACCCTGAGGTTGGCTTTGTCCTACTTCCTGATTTAAAGTGGGACCAAAAACAGGTGAGAGACCAGAACCTTTCCCACCGACATTCCTCTACTGTCAAAAAAATTGCAGATAAAAGAAGTTGAAAAGTTGAAGATAATCAA